GCGCGTGGTTTCTTGGGGGATCAAAAGGAGTACCGGTGGATGGAGCCTTTCTTTTACTACCGGCCATTTTCAAGTATGTGAACTTACTTAGATCATTAGCTTCAACTTTTGGCTTTGCTCCAAGATTGGATCTTATTTATGGTTGTACTTTATGCATTATTGATGGTTTTCTCATGAGTTCACACATTGCCCACACTATTACTATTGAACTTGTGCCTGTTCCTCCACGAAATGTGTTCTAGAAAAAGAAAAAAAAAATGGTTAGTAAAAACAATTAAAAAAAAAACAGTTTATTGCATTTAGTACCCCTGTGTTGTATCGAATTGCTAAAAACTCTCGAAGTTATTTTATTCGCAAAAACCCCCTTATAATACTTTTTTTTAGCACGCAACCCCCCAAATAGTGTGTTTCTACTTTTTAGGGCTCGCCAAAAAAAATGAATCATATGAGGTCTTTTAACAGTTACAGAAAATACAGGGGTGTTGAATGCAATAAACCAACCAAGAAATGTGTTCTTGAAAAAGAAAAAAAGATGGTTAATAAGAAAAAGAGTTTATTGCATTTAATTAGTACCCCCGTGTTGTATCGAATTGCTAAAAACTCTCAAAGTTATCTTATTCGCAAAAACCCCCTTATAATATTTTTTTTAGCACGCAACCCCCTAAATAGTGTGTTTCTACTTTTTAAGGGTAGTTCGCCAAAAAAAATGAATCATATGAGGTCTTTTAACAGTTAGAGAAAATACAAGGATGTTGAATGCAATAAACCCTCCAAGAAATGTGTTCTTGAAAAAAAAAAAAAGAGTTTATTGCATTTAGTACCCATGTGTTGTATCGAATTGCTAAAACTCTCCAAGTTATATTATTCGCAATAAACCCACTTATAATACTTTTTAGCACGCAACCCCCTAAATAGTGTGTGTTTACTTTTTAGGGGTAGTTCGCCAAAAAAATGAATAATATGAGGTCTTTTAACAGTTAGAGAAAATACAGGGGTGCTGAATGCAATAAACCCTCCAAGAAATGTGTTCTTGAAAAAGAAAAAAAGATGGTTGATAAAAAAAAAAAGGGTTTATTGTATTTAGTCCCCCTGTCTTATATCGAATTGCTAAAAACTCTCCAAGTTATTTTTCGCAAAAACCCCCTTATAATACTTTTTTTTTAGCACGCAATCCCCTAAATAGTGTGTTTCTACATTTTGGGGGTAGTTCGCGAGAAAAAAAAATGAATCATATGATGTCTTTTAACAGTTAGAAAAAATACAGGGGCGCTGAATGCAATAAACCCTCCAAGAAATGTGTTCTTGAAAAAGCAAAAGAGATGGTTAAAAAAAAAAAATGAGTTTATTGCATTTAGTACTCCTGTGTTGTATCGAATTGCTAAAAACTCTCCAAGTTATGTTATTTGCAAAACCCCCTTATAATACCTTTTTTAGCACGCAACCCCCTAAATAGTGTGTTTCTACCTTTTAGGGGTAGTTCCCCCAAAAAAATGAATCATATGAGGTCTTTTAACAGTTAGAGAAGATACAGGGGTGCTGAATGCAATAAACCCTCCAAGAAATGTGTTCTTGAAAAAGAAAAAAATTTAATAATAATAATTTAAAAAAAAGAAAAAAAAAAGAGTTTGTTGCATTTAGTACCCCTATGTTGTATCGTATTGCTAAAAACTCTCCAAGTTATTTTATTCGCAAAAAACCCACTTATAATACTTTTTTTAGCATGCAACCCCTAAATAGTGTGTGTTTACTTTTTAGGGGTAGCTCGCCAAAAAAAAAAAAATGAATAATATATGGTGCATTTGGATGGAGGGATTTGGAGGAGGGATTTCAAATCCATAATAACAAATCTCTTGGACTTGTTTGGATTGAGGGATTTGGAGATGGATTTCAAATCCCCACCCATCCTTTTTAGTTGTTTTTGGAGCAATAGTGGTGGATTTCAAATGACTCCAAAATTTGTGTCATTTCAAATCCGTTCCCAAAATCAAATCCCTTCCCAACTTCCTCTATCCAAATGGACCCTGAGGTCTTTTAATAGTTAGAGAAAATACTTGTGCTCGGAGACCAAGTAATTGACTAATTGACTAAAACTGTGTTAGAGACTAAGGGAAGTATTTTTTATAATTATCTCTTATGCGAATACTTGTGCTAGGAGACTCCTTGGTGGAATCGTTTTGAGGAGTAAAGAATTCTATCATCACGGTTTATTTTAATAGTTTCGCCATTAATTGGTTAATATTTGATATGTAATATTCATAGATTATGATGCAATATCTTAAGATAATGCATGAGTTTTGAAAGTCCATATTTCATCAACGTTACCTACTTGGTTTCCTTGGAGTCTAGAAGAAAACCACCGGACTTGTTTACCAAGTTATATGATTTGGTTACCAAATTGTGAATCCGAAGTAGCAGTCTTCATTGCGAACGCAGAACAGTCACTGCAACACTTTGAGGATCTTCGAGAGAGAGAAGAGATGAGAGGTAGAGATGTCCCACCGGGCGTGCCAAAATTTGTAGCAACAAATTCTTATCTGCGAATTTAGACAAACAAGAAAAACTTGCACAAATATAATTTTATTGAATTAAAAATAAATATTGCGGGTTACAAACTCTAATTTAATCCTCTGATTCTTCTCTCAAGAAGAATATATGTTGACTTTGAATTTCGGAGTCGGGTCGTTGACTTGATCTTCTCCGGATTTGATTTTGAACTTGAATAACGTTTTCCGAGGGTCTTGCGACTTGAATCTCAGATCGAACGCTGAACTTTGACGAGCTTTGACTTGAAGATCTTGGAGTTCTTGATGGATTTGACCTTTCAATCTTCCTTCGATCTTGATTTGTTGAACTTTGATGGGTTTTGACTTGAAGATCTTGGAGTTCTTGATGGATTTGGCCCTTCAATCTTCCTTCGATCTTGATTTGTTGAAGAACGCCCTCGATTTGATGAAGAACGCCTTGAATTTGTTGAAGAACGACTTGAATTTGTTGAAGAACGACTTGAATATTGTAGAGAAAATTTTCTCCTACGGTTTTTTCTTCTTCTTGAATTGTGTTTTCAATTGTGTAGGGAGGGTCCCTATTTATAGTGGTAGAATAAGAGTCCTACTTAAAGTCTACTTGATGATGTGGCGCGATTTGATTGGCTCTCTTTAAATTGATATTTATCTCTTATAACTTGGAAGAGAAGAAATAATCCTATTGGTCAATAATTAATTAATAATTATCCCCATGGCTTGCCTTGCAAGATAAGGTATAATTTAATTTAGACACAATTTAATTGGCTAATTTAATTAACCAATTAATTAATTTTATGCGTCTACAGGGGTTATTAAATTAGAGTTCTATTTTGATAACTCATCCGTCGAGAAGTAAAAATACATCCCAAATATATGATTATCAAATATTCTCCTAAAAAATAGGAGCAAGTGGAAAAAGAAAAACCTCAAGACTTGAGTTTCTTTTCTTTACGGAAAAATCTCAACATAATAGAATTAAATTTTCTACCTCTTCAACAAGTTTCCACCGGAAAAAAATCTCAAAAAAATCTCAAGAAAATATCAACATAATTTTTTTTTTCTTTAGAGCTTCAACAAAATTCCACGAAAAAAAAAAATCTATGTATATATAATTTTTTTTTCTGTTTTGAAAAGTGATTTTGAAGATAGATTACCAGAAAAATCGATTTGTATGGTTATTTAAAATGAATTAAAAATATATAATCGTAAATTTGTTTGATAATTGTGGTTGGAGTTCACTAGTTGTATAGAGATATCAAAGTATAACCCCATTTGACAACAATGGGTTGGAGTTGCTCTTACGTTTCTTTATTTTACTTTTAGTCATTAATTTTGTTTTATGATATATGGAATTTAAGTATAATTAGGAAACTTAATTTATTTCATATATTTTATTGATACATCTTTATGCTTATTAATTATTATTGTCAGGGAAAACAGACATTTAAAGCACAAGAGCAGAACTTGATTTTTTTGTCACTTTTCATCGGGAGAAGTTTTTCGGAGAAAATATTCTTTGCTCTCGTTTTTATTGTTCCATTGTGATAGGTGATTTTCATAGAAAAATATCAGCTTCAAGGCTTTATGGTGAAGACACCAAGATTCAAGAATTATCATAAGTTTGCTTCTTCTATACAAAAAGAAGATCGGTTCTTTGGGAGAGGGGGCTTAAACAGATCTCGGGAGGAGATCGATCCGCCGACTGAAGGGATTCAACGTTAAAGGGAGTTCAACCGAGCAGAGAGGAGGCTGCATGATCGGAGTTATTAGTTTTGAGTATTGCACAAGAATGGCATCAAGATAAAGAGAGAGTCTTTAATTTATTGTTTAAGTCATAATATTGTGCTTGTAAAACTAAAATAGTGAATATTCGTTTTTTGCAGATCCTCGTGGATGTAGGGTACAATTTTATCCAAACCACATTAAATTTGTGTCTCGTTTATTTCTGTTTTTACATACTGTTTCGAACTGTTGCAACACTTTACGCAATATTAACGAAAAACTGAATCGGACACAAACAATTTATATTTGCACGAAATAAATTCTAACACTCGACAAAAAAGAAAGTTGGGCTCTTTTTCGTGACAAGGTTTTTGCACATGGTGAAGAATGCAACCGTGAACTTGAGAAAGCTGGAAAGAAGATTGCCGAAAATTGTGAGGGTCTTCCTCTTACAATACTGAAAGTTGCAAACATCCTATCCAAAGCTAAAAAGACTGTAGATTACTGGAACATTGTAGCTCTCGACAAGCAAAATTCGGTTTTCATGGATGCGTATGATCAAATGTATAAGAAACTCTATCCAAGATATGAATACTTGGATCAAGATTTAAAAGCTTGCTTTCTCTACATGGAATTTTCCCTAATACATATGAGATCCCCCGCTCCAAGCTCATCAATATGTGGAGTGCTGAAGAATTTTGCGAAAGAGATTCCTCTCTAAGAAACTTACACCAACTTCGGTCAAGAAGTCTTGTCATGGTCCACAAGACTAGCTATGGCAAAGGAATAAAAACTTGCCGCCTTTATTCTCCCTTTTGGTATCTGTGCAACAAAGAAGCTAACAAGGACAAGTTTATCCACGACTTGAATAGTGTCGACGATGCTTCAGAGGAAGAAGATCTCAAAAACCAACGCCGACTGTGCATTCGCAATAACACTTTATTTGGCATCAGAGACGTGTACGACTCGATGGAGTCCATTCCAACGGCACGTTCTCTCCTATGTACCGGTCCATACCATCAATATCCTGTACCGCTATGTTTGGGTCTGAGGTTGCTCAGAATACTTGATGCTCTTAATATTCGTCAATACGAGTTCCCGACGCACGTAGTCCATCTAGTACAACAAATGTACCTTTCCCTCACATTCGAAGGAAACATCTCTCCTTCCATATCCAAACTTTGGAACCTCCGTTACTTGATTGTTTGTCGGCACATGATCATTGTGGAATCCGATGGAAAATCTTCGCCCGACTTGCCTACAGAGATATGGAACATGCGAAAACTGAATCATCTCCAGGTCATGGGAAGCGATCTACCACATCCTCCGTGTGAAGGATCTCTCTTACCAAACCTCTTAACTCTGTCGGATGTGAGCCCTCAAAGTTGTACCAAGGACATTCTAGAAAGAATTCCGAAGTTGAAAAAGTTGCGAATCCGAATCGAACTGGCTCCCGATGCCAATGAGCCGTTGAGCTGCTTCGATCATATTTCACATCTCCGTGAATTGAAGATACTTAAATGTGTCATCGTTTGTCCGAAGATTGTATCTGTGGTTGTTGATGTTCCACTCGCTCCTCTTTCGATATTCCCACCGAGTCTTGAAAAGTTAACTATGAGTGGTAGCTATGGGTATGCTTGGAAAGAATTGAGCAAGATTTCTTCACTACCGAAACTTAAAGAACTCAAATTGCAATGCTACGCCTTTCAAGGCCCAAAGTGGGAAGTTCATTGGGACGAATTCCCGGCGCTTGAATTTCTTTTTATAGAGGACATCGATCTGGTGCAATGGAAACTTAAAGATTATAAGTACTGCTTCAAAAATCTCGAGAGGATTAGCGTAAAGCATTGCTACAAGTTAGAAAAAATGCCTTCGAAATTTGGTAGAAATCTTACCAAGATTGAACTAGTCTATTGCAACCCTCTTGTTGAGACTAGTGCAAAAAAGTTGAAAAGTGATCGGGAGATGAACGCTTTTAACCATCGATTGTTTTAGACAATGAGTGATATATATTTGTTTGACGTTTGTGGTTTGATTTGGGAAGATGGCCTTTTTGGAAATGGAAAGGATTGAATTGCAAATTTTGAAAACTTTATTTTCGGGCATATATAATTTTGGAGTGAATTTTTTATTTTGGAAATTTATAATTTAAATAGTCTTTTGGTCTTTTTGGTCAAAAATACATCCTCAGTCTCACAACCCGCTCCTCCAGCATATGGTAAGCTGTTAGGGACCGTATTGCCTTTGATTCATTTTTATAGTGGGGTTCTTGTCAATTTTTTTAATACGAGTGTTTTTTTAGCAATTCAAGATCACACACACGGGTGGTTTTGCAAAAAAACCTTATTTAATTTATATGCAGATTTTAATGTCACATGAACAAGGAGATATGTGTTTAGCAGACATTTTTATATATTTATGTGTTTAGCAGACATACAACTACTACGGAAATTTCAACTTGTTAACGTATCCGTGTTTCGTAGACGTTCCATGTACGATATTCGAAGATCCCGGCCGGACACCTCATAGGTCATTTTGCAACTTCTGAAAGTTAAAAACATATTTGAATAGCAAACATCCAAATATTTTTGTCGATTCCCTAATTAATTACATGATTTAATGATCAATTGTTAATTGTCAATTGATAAAATTATTTAGAGTTAAATACAGTTTGCACCCCTATACTATCGTCACTGTCACTATACCCCATGTACTATAAAATGCGGCAAAACAACCCCTCACCTTACTAGTAAACTCTAACGGTGTTAGTTTTTGCAGTGTAGTTACATTTTTACCCTTAATCAACATATTTTTGGCCAAATAAAGAGATTTTCCAAATGGATTTTTTTTAAAATTGTTTTTATCAAAAATAGGTTGATTTATTTTGGAGATAAAAATGATTTGAATTTGAAACTCCTATCTTTGGAAAAAAAATCCTATTATTCAAAACTAACATTTTCCCCCGTGCGATGCACGGATCGTATTTTAAAAGTAATAAAAAAATAATCAATTTAATACATAAAAAAATACATAATACACTAATATAGTAAAAATTTAAGAAAATAATACTATTTATATTTTATATAACACTAGTATCTCACCCGTGCGATGCACGAGATCAAATTTCAGATCAAAAGAAATTATTCTAAAACATCACCGAACTAAAAAAAGGTCGAGGATTTAAGTCGAATACGACCGAACAAAAAATAACAATTTCGTATTTTATATCATCACCAAAAAGTCTACATAAATATAAAATGGCAATCTTGTACAAACCATCCACGCCGAAATGCCACAACCAACTCCAAGTGGGGAATCGAATGAATGGACCACTCTTGTACATTAATCTGAATGTTGGTACAATATAACACGAAGCTACGGTCACGAACAATGAAAATACATTTAAATAAAATAATATAGTAAAAACTTTAATTAATTCATATATAATATAGCCCAAAACAAAAAAAAATGTCCATTCCATCTGATTTAAATACAAAACTTAAACAAAAATAATAATAAAATAAAATATAAAATAAATACTTGTGATATAAAATATACAATACCTCATCCGACCCAAATCGTAAAACTAACTCGCCCAATGCACTCGAATCCTTAACATGGAATTTAGTTATCAAAGTGTTATTTTATACATACATTGAAATCGTTTACAACTCATCTAATACCTTGTGAGTAACCTACACATTTTGCATTGTTCATATTCTCTCAGTCGTACACCTAACTGAATAATAAATCACCTAAAATGTAAAATAAATACAATTTATATAAAATTACCTAGATTAAAAAAATTCATTGGAGCGGCACTAATGTACATTAGAGATGAATTTTTTTTTTTATAAAATCACAAAATTTTGTGCTATACCTTCATAATCACTTATAAACCCTCCTTGTAGACAAAATTGTTAATAACATTATTCGTCTGATTCCAACTTGATAAATTTCTTAATGCTACCCATACTCTATTCTCTGCATTACGATATATAATTGTCCATGCAACTTGTAATACCAATGTAGATACTAATACTAATACTAATACTAATACTAATACTAATGCTAATATTATTACTAATACTAATCCTAATACTATTACTAATACTAATACTAATACTAACTATACTAATATTAATACTAATACCAATACTAATACTAATACGAATACTAATACTAATACTAATACTAATACTAATACTAATACTAATACTAATACTAATACTAATACTAATACTAATACTAATACTAATACTAATACTAATACTAATATTAATACTAATATTAATACTAATACTAATACTAATACTAATGCTAATGCTAATACTAATGCTAATACTAATACTAATACTAATAGTATATTAATAACGATAATAGTGATACTGATATTGATACATATTATATTGATACATATTATATTCACTAATATTAATACTAATACTAATACTAATGTGAATACTAATACTAACACTAATCGTAATTCTAATACTAATACTAATACTGATATTAATGTTAATGCTAATGCTAATGATAATGATAAAAATAATGCTAATGTTGATACCGATACCGTTACCGATACCGATACCGATACCGATACCGGTAGCGATACTAATACTGATACTGATACTAATACTAATCCTTATATTCGTACTCAAAATAATACTTATAATCATACTCATACTTTATTATTAAACAAACCAAAATACTTACGGACTACCATAAAGTGTGCATGTAGTACATGTAAATGGTAGAAAATATAAGATTTCAAAATTCAAAAATTTCAATTGGGCGGCAATAGCAAATCGATTTTCCTAAAAGCATTAACTCTGAATGGGAGTATAAATTTTACCTAAAAAATATATATTGTTACATAATTGGACATAAATGATTCAAATGTATGTCTCAATTAAAATTTTATTAACGTAAATATTTTAATTAAAAAATAATACAAAAAAATACATTAAAAATTATGTTTCTCGGAACATTAAATTAAATAAGATAATATTTTTTGAATTTATGAAATATAAAATTCATAAAAGAATATGTATATGCAAAATTTAAGTAGGAAACAATTTAATTATACAAAAATAAAAGCTGACAAATAATCAATTGACTAAAATGCATAAGCAATTTAGTTCAACTAAGCGATTTCAAATTTGACATAAGCATCTTGACACATGTCATTCGTTAAGGCAATAATGTTTTTAAAATATTTTATATAGATTAGTATAATATAAATCATGCCTATTGTCCTTTTTGGTTATATGCAAATTAAATTTCTCGGACGTAGCATTGTATTGCAATTCATTATTTGTCATGCCTACAATAATTTTATAATAAAAGATCATTTATCAAAAAAGTTATGATATTTAAAATCTCAATTAATCTAGTTTCCTTTCTTATAATATGAATATAACACGCTATTTTATATTTAGCATTTCTTTCACTTTTATGAGGAGAGTAATACAAAAGGTATGATTGTTGTATGATGATGTCACATGCTTAGTTGAAAAATTAGCTTATTAAATAAACTCATGCGGTTTTTATTTATACCAAAACACATTATGCTATTCGGATCATGAAGGCAAGATTAAAACACTTCTAATTATAATCAATGATTTTTTTTTGCGTATTTATATAATTTATCAAGTCAACTAATTAAAACTTGATATTCATAAGTTCAAATAGATATATAAAATTGGGAGGAAATATTAAAATAATCTATCCATTTAAGGTAATTAAAGAATATAATTTGAGGAAATAAAAAAATTAAAAAGTCGTATAGTTTTGAAAATAAGATTTGAATATATATCAAATTCATATCAATATTTTTGACAAAGTTAAAATAAATTAATATGTAAATTGATTGGAATATATTGATAACAAACATGAAAAAAATAAAGGAAACAGAAAGTAGATAATGACGAGTGAATGTCAAACGAATGTAAGGAAATAGTAATTCTCATCGAAACATTATTAAGTGAATAAAGATACTAACAAAATTTATAATATAATATAGCATTTAATGTGATAGATTCTTTAAAATTGAATCATGTAGACAAAAAAATTGATGTATATACGAAAGACTTGTCTTAATCGATTGGAATAATATATAGAGGGTGTTTGGCTAAGCTTATAAGATGTTAAAAGGAACTTATAAGATGCTTTAGAGCATATAAGCTCTTCCAAAGTGTTTGGTAAATTTTTAAGAAAATATCTTAATTTTTTTTTAAAATAAGCTGTTGCAGAGCAAATAAGATCTTATTAAAAAAATACCTCTAACCCACCTTTTTATTTAAGATCTTATAATGAGTAAAAATAGGAAATAAGCTCGTTATCCAAACACTCTCAAAATTAATCCTAAAAATAAGATGTAACAGCTTATCAGCTCTTAAAACATCTTATCAGACGTAGAGCTTAACAGCTGTTTAAAATAAGCTTAGCCAAACACCCTCACAATCTTAAAACTATTTACCATGAATAATCAAAGTGCGGCAAACACTTATATAAAATTTTGTAACCTACTAAAAAAAATGGGAAGATAAGCCTAATAGTAGCTTTGCCAAATTAAAGAATGGGCCAATGACGTTCATACTTCATACAACTATAATGTTGCACTCAAACTTCCTTGAATCCCATTTTGCATTTCTAATTTATTTATAGTCTCATTTATTCCGTGAATTTGTATATGTACCTGTATGCTTTGTATTTTCCACTCAAACAACGTAACTGGGTAATTCCACTATATATTTTTGCCTATTTCTCAATAGTTGCACAAGTGCACATGATTTGGCCTCAACTAAGTGGCTAAATTTTGTCACTTCTGTATAAAAAAAAAATCATATATCAAATTGTGTTAATTATACAAATAAATAAATAGAAAATTAAAAAAAAATTATAGAAAACTATATAATAAAATATTCGTATTATAAAAATTATTGAATAATAAAATAAATAATTGCAAATAAAAAATGTAAGCAAACCCGTTT